GTCTATCTCCAGAACAACATATTTAAAGTTCCATTGTGTTTCATTGGGATTGGAGTAAAGGGAAAAACTGGTATATTCAAGTGTAGTTATCTGCATCATTTGCCCAACCAATATATTATGTAGTATGTTCGTTGTTCTCCAATGTTTCTCCCGCACATAGAATACATGGTGAAAATTACACACCTCAAGTAAAGCTAAAATGTTTAGAGAATGTTCTGTGCAAAGCCTGAGAGGTCCTTGAAAAAGAAAAAGATTTTTTTTCTTTCTGCCAGTATTCTGTACAATGCTGGCTTTAGCATTCTACAGATGCATGTTTTTAGAAAGTGGTATGATTGACGAATGGCACAATAGTTTACCTCAGTTATTTTGTATAGGAATTCTAAATCAAATACTGAGGAGAGAATTATAAATATTGCATGGAGTTCAATCCTCTTTCATCTTGATTTAACGGAATTAGTGGTTAAAACAATGAGGGAAATTGCTTGCACATATTCATTATTGCTGTTGTCCATATGCTTGATTGTTTCACAGTGGATAATGAGAATGTATGTGATTGAAGAGGGCTTTCAGCGTCAACTGTGACTTTATTTATTATAATTCTCTTTTTTTATCTTGGGTTAATAGCTGCTCTGTCCATGGGAGTAGATCCCTCTCTCTCTGGGAGTCTCCCAGAGGTGATATGTTTCTCCCACTGGGTTTTGGAGTCTTTGGCCAATCCAGGAGGGTCTAAGAACAGAGCACGATCCGGTACGTTTAATCCATTTGCATTTCATGGTTTGATTTTCAAAACTCCTGTTGATTGAAAATGACATGAATGAGTAGCTATAAAAACAACTTTGAGTGTGCACATAATTCTTCCCACTTAATTCTTTTGCTGAAATGATGAAACAACAATATTTTGTAAAGTTGTGTATGAGTAAATGTATATGAAAGAGTTTATGTGCACTGATGCATCAATGACTATTACAAATGGCTATGAGCGCAGATTAAAAAAACATTCAAAATCAATAGTTGGAATTAACTATAATATAATGTCAACTGTTCTAATTTTGAATATATATTCAATTATTTATTTTTTCATGAAATTTGAAGTTGTAAATTGATGTTTGAATGTAGAGAACCCACCCACTCTAGGAGAGGCAGGGCTGCCCCCCTGTGCCCATGTGGTGCTGATCGAGTATTCAAAAACCACAGCAAATTTTGTTTTGCCTGAAAGCCGCGCCACTGCGCCCATCTTGAGCAGGAAAAATGGGACTTAGACCACATTTGAGAAGCATCTTAGCGCGCGGCCCAGCACTGTGTACCTGCTTCAAGCACTGGGTGTGAAAGTGTCAGTCCGCTGCAACAGGCGCTGAGCCGACGGGAGCCGCTTCACTCGCCGCTCCACAGGGGTCACATCAATGCACATGGAAGATGGCCGAAAGTGCAAAGCAAACTTGAAAGGGATTTAAACCCAGTGGGGGCAGGTCCCAGCTCAAAAGTGGCCAAAATGACGTGCGCTGACATGCTTGCAATACCACCCCGGGCCGATGGGGGTGGACCCAGAAGAAGAATTAGCCAATGCTAACATATAGCATTGGCAGACCTCTCAAAAACGTCTTTACAGGATGGACCAAAAGTTGGCTCTTGGCCCAAAGCTCCGTTCCACATGTGTGTCAATGCTGAGGGGGGTGGATTTTTTTGGTCTACTCTAGTTTACTTGCTGTGAATTTTTGAAGTCTCTCGTTCAAATGAATGGAGCTGCGCCGGCTGACGCATGCGCAGATGCGTTTTTTCACAATTTTCTTGTGGGTGGGACCACTCGCGGCCATTTTGGATAGCTCCAGTAGAGCACATTTTTTGGCCCATTAGTTAGAACGGCGGAGATAGGCGTGACTCTGTCCGTTAATATATACAGTCTATGTTTAAACCCCCAAACATTAAAAAACATGTCTGGAAGTACTTTGGATTTTGGTTGGTAGAAGGTGGAATATTTAAACAAACATTTGTAACAATTCTGATAGCTATAATGGTCATTACCTGTGATAAATTTTCAAATCAATTTTGCTCTAATTCTCAGCAGAGCAAGAAACAGAGACTGATTAATATCTTTCTCAGCAAACGTGTGCTTTGAGCTACAAATAAGGCCGGATCAAAAAAGTTTCTAATTTGGCAACTAATATTTATTGGTCTGAGTTTTCAAAAAGCATTTATAGGGTTTGCCCGAAGCTATAAACTTTCCCAATTCTTTCCGTTTGCCCATGACCGCTGTCGGGGTGTGGATCATTGGTCGGAGGAGTCTGGGAAATGAGAACCCTTCGCTTTCATCATTCAACTGGAATCCAATGAAATGCCTGTCAGACTCAACCGCCGCGCTGTAAAAGTGCTTTGGCGAAGCTCGGCTCTTTTTCGGGGCAGAGGCATCAGTATTCCTTAATGAGGCTTCAAAAGATGAGCAAGGAAGATTTACGGAATTAAATCTATGTGGTTTGAAGAATTCTGTCATCAGTCATCTTTTGTTGCTTTGGACAAGGCTTTTATGTAGTGCGAGAATAGCGCAGGTAAAACATAACAATGTCAAAGTAATTAGATGAAGTGATGTGTCTGTGAAAGCAGTCAAAGTCATGTATAATTGAATAACAACAAAGGCAGATTTTAAAGGTTGTTGGGCTTCATTCAAAAGAACATAACTTTTCTTTTCCCGTTATTAAAAGGGACATTGACTGAATGGACTTTTCACAAAGTTTTCAGTGTTGGGGTGTCAATTGTCATTTTCACATTAAACAATTCATGCACGTTGGAGTAATATATATTGTACTTTATATCTATCTTTAAAAGCAGGACCATGAATATGGTCCATCAGTGCCTCACAGGCAATGCTGATTGTAGTAGTTCATCTCAATTCACAAATTGTGAATTTGAACCAACTCAGAGCTCAATCAGATCACCAAGAAGTAGTTCTTCAAGGTCCTCGAGCATGTTTTAGCACAAGTGTCTAGTTCTGACTACGGGGTAAAAAATTACTAAAAAAATTACTAAATTGACTTTTTATTCAATTGATTCATAAACTAGTTATAATTTTTTTTTATGAGACAAAAAATATATGTATATCAACATTTTTGTTGATGTGTGTTGTAATATACATTAACATTTATAGGGTGTTTTATTTTAATTTTAATTTAATTTAAATTGGTTTAATTCACAAGTGCAGTCATCTGAGGAATTAACAAAATTGTAAATTCGCCATTAACAGATTAGCAAATCAAACCATTAGAACATGGGAAAAGCAATAATGATAAACATAAGGAAGCCATTGGTCCATAGGGTAGGCCTCATAAATGTTCATAAATGTTCATAAATGTTCATGAGTGACATGTCAGTAAAAGGCCTGGATCATCACTGTCCTTTGACCTCTGGTTTCCACACATCTCATTTATGATCAGCTGTTTCTGCGTTCAGCTGTATGTTCATAAATACACAGAACATGTTCATAAATACCAGCCTCACTCTGGCATATGGACAGTATGTGAGTGAGTAGGCATTTCACTGCAATGTCAGTAAATGAGGGCCATTCTTTTTAGTCGATTGATCTTCTATTCTTCTCTGCTCTATCTTGAAAAATCCACTCAATTTGTATTGCTTCACTGACTGAGTAAAAAAACATTGAATGTTCAAATGCATTAGAGCAGAGAGCGGCTTAATGACACTAAAGACACACGTCTCTGGATGTGACAGCTGTACTGCACTAGACAAGACAGTTGGTGATATTGACCTAACAGCAGTGACAGCAGCAGATCAATAGTATTCAATACAATTCAAAGCATGCACCATCTTGTTTTCATTCCATAACACCAGGATTGCAAAAGCACAAACATTTGCAGATTGGATCAGCAGTAATTGAATGTGAGCAGACCCAAGCTGGCAGGAAAACAGGCACAGAAGGGTCTAGTAGTTACAGCTAATAAAAGACATTTCTGACTATTAAGGAATGTAGGAACACTGAGTTTAGTCCACAATAGATGCCATAATGTTGTCCAGGTCTCAAATGAAAGCAGGTGCAAGGATTTATTGACAAATAGTAACAAATCTAATGTTAAACAATGTTTTTAGATCAGAGTGGAGTGAACACTGTTTGTGTTGGAATTCTACCCAATACAAAGCATACAACTTTTCAATCTACATTTTATCCAGACTCCTTTTATTCAGAGGTGATTTCGATACTTTAAAAACATGCTAGTGAGAATAGTTTAATACCAAACAATGGAACATGCAGGCCTGGAGTTATTTGTCAGAAAAAATACAATATCGTCGACATTTATACAATACGTGCGTTATAGGAATGTGTATTAATAAAGTTAGACAGTGTGGTACATTTATGAAAGAGAATAGGCCGTGAAATATGATGGCGAGTTTGCATATATACTCAATTTAAGCCTGCAGCGTCACTAGCAGATGCTGAAAATGCATTAAACCCAGAGCGTCACTCATTGCCGCATGAGGTCAGAATACATGGATGAAAGAATGGAAAACCCTCTGACAAAGCGGGAGCATCATGCGTCTGAACGTGATGCTAAAAGGAACAGCCCAAACGTGACGCCACCAGAGAGTCAGTTAGTGTTGTATGAATTGATTTACCAGCAGGGTGGAAAAAAGTGAGTTGGACAAGTGCCCTACATTTGTGGAAATAACAGGAATATGCTCTTTATGTGGTGATATATTTGACCCAAAGTTAATTGATCGATTTCTTTTTGGGGAGGATTGGGAGCTGTTATTGGCTGTGACTGTGGCTGACTGGCTCCTGGACCTGGTGGGGGTTTGGAGCCTCGGCTTCATCTCTACTCTAGGACTTGTGTGGTCCCAATACGGCAGCTCTCTAGCGCGGACGGCTCCTCGGATGGTGCTTCCTCTGCTGGCTTTACGCAGCTCTAGGTTTTTTATATTTTTACCTATTTTATGTGTGTGTATGAGTGTGTGTGTGTCAAAATATCAACCTTACCAGATAAGCATTCAGTGGGAGAAGCTCATGTCTCGTCCTGTGGAGACAAACATACAGCGCCATAAGAGCCGGCAGGACAGACTTAAAGGGCACATCCACAACACTCGCCTCTTCATAAAAGTCATTATCTGCCCCTACTCCTACATGCACTTTGAAAACGACTGATAGTTCTGTGTGTTGAAGGCGCGAGATATGCTTCCATCAAAACAAAAGCAGCCGACTGAAGAGACTGTTAATCAAGACAGGACCCTGCTAATTAAAAGGAGAGAACCACGAGCGATAAGGTGAAATAATAAAACGGGAAAGCAGGGAAGCGTGCCAACTTTGAAAAGATTAGCGTAGGAGTGTTGAACTTGAGAGCGGAGGGGGATTCCTGCTTCCTACGCAAGTCTGTGCGGAAGATTAATCTTTACCAGAAAAGCAGCAGGCAAGTCCAACACTGAATAACGTGTTGGCGGCATAGAGTGTAAATATTAACGGACGTTAATATGAATTGGGCAAGTGCCGGCATTCATAACGCATGCGCAAATGCGTTTTTTTTAGATTTTCCAGCCCCCACAGCCATTTTCCTTAAGTCCACACTACTACTGCCACAAAATCTGCTCCTTTTCTTCCCACTCTACGCTCTACCACTGCTCTGATCAGAAGCTCTGATTGGTCAAAACGCGGTCGAGCCCCTTTGATGCCCAAATATAGGCAAGTTCTAATACGTCAGCGCCCGTGATGTCCCATGCACTACTGAGCACAAGCCATTCATTTGAATAGGGTGCCATCTTGGATCACCGGGGCTTGATTGAGATCCTAGCAGTGGGGCCGGGTCCCGGCTCAAAATTGGCCAAAATGACGTGCGCTGACATGCTTGCAATACCACCCCGATGGGGGTGGACCCGGAAAAAGAATTAGCCAGTGCCAACATATAGCTTCTAGTTGCCTCTCGAAAACGTCTTTACAGGATGGTCCAAAAGTTGTCTCTTGGCCCAAAGCTCCGTTCCACATGTGTGTCAATGCTGAATTTTTGAAGTCTCTCGTTGAAATGAATGGGGCTCCCACCGGCTGACGCAAGCGCAGATGCGTTTTTTCACAATTTTCTTGTGGGCGGGACCACTCGCGGCCATTTTGGATAGCTCCAGTAGAGCATTATTTTTGGCCCATTAGTTAGAACGGCGGAGATAGGCGTAACTCTTTCCGTTAATATATACAGTCTATGGATCCTAGTCATACAGACTAGATGTAACATAATTGGTTGTATTTAAAGGCACACCGTGTAACTCTTGGCCACTAGGGGCGCTAGACCTGCAACTTTCACGTTTAGCGCCCCTAGTGGCCACAAGCAACTCAGCACTGTCGCAAAAGTCAAACAGTCAGCCGGTGTCTTTTGAGTGTGTATTCAGACAGCATGCACTGGTGTGTGTGTTCAAACTGTAGAGACATGCCTACAGATATTGAGAGACTCTGCTGTGGTCAGCCTCCAGACCGCTGCATTAGTAATCTACCACACATGGACTTCTATATCCTGGATGAGGGAGTTCTGCGTCTAGCTCGTGCTGCGTGGAATGACATCGTTGCGGTCGATGACATCCAGGAACCAGGTGAACAGCAGCGCTCATACAGACATGCAGCTTACAGCACGATCCCTTTCGCGTTTCCTCTTTTTAGCCTCCTCCAAAGGTTTAAAATTTTTCCTTGCCTCAGCCATGACCAGGAGTCGAGCAGGTGAAAAATGAGTAGCAAAAGCCTTAGCTCCATGAGTATATCAGCGCCTGTAGCCGTAAAGCAAGTCTTTCTTCCAAGTCACGTGACCTGGTGGCAGACGGTCCGTCTGCTCGAAAGTTACATGGGCGGTATTTCAAGAGGGCAGCCCCGCTCGGAGCATTGCAAGTGTCAAGCGCTGTATATTGGCCCAAGTATTCATATAAAATAACTCATATGTGTCAACTCTTTAGGTCACAAAGTCCGCGGTGTGCCTTTAATTTAAAAATATGAATATTTATAATATCAAATGATGATAATATATTCTGAAACATGAAACACAAAAGGTAAATGTTCTCATGAACTATACTGTATGTCCTTGCACAATAAACATCTGTATAAGAAGTCTGCTAAGGTCTGTGTCTGATAAACAGGTGCAGAGATAATCATCTGAAATGTCCAATTCATCAACAAAATGTGTTAGATAGATATGTGCCAGCATATGTGTTGTTAATCTGTTCTCTTATCCATTTGAAACACAATGTACTGTATGTAGACATAAGGACAAGACTGTGAATAAAGAAAACTTTGATAGTGAACTAGTGTTATTTAATGTTCTGTACATAGCAATTATTTAGTTATATCAGTTTCTTGCTGTGTTGCAAAAATATATTTGAATTGTATTCTGTTTGTTTTCACTGGCTCATCCTGAGATCCCGTTGATCTCATATTGACAAACAATGGGGGAGGGAATCTTGGGGCACCTCAGGCTGCGATTCGATTATTAAAAAATATTGATGCATTTTTAATATATGTATATTGATGCACTTTTTCCACATTTCCAGATTTTTTTTTTTTTTTGTATTTTATTACCTTTATGAAACTATCCATTGGAATGGAAAAGCATGAGCATTTAAACTTTAGTTTACTTTAGTGTCATATGTAGTAAGTAAGTAAGTAGTAAGTAAAGAAAGCTCGTCAGCGTCTCTACTTCCTGCGGAAACTTAGAGAATTTACCATTAACTCTAAGATTCTGCTGAACTTTAGCGCTGCACCATTGAGAGTTTACTTGTTGGTTCTGTGTCTGTGTGGTTCGGTAACATCACAGATAAAGAAAAGAGAGCTTTAAACAAGGTGCTCCGCTCTGCTAAGAGGACTGTAGGCTGTGAACTTCCTGTCCTGGAGGCTCTTTATCAATCCAGACTTTTTAACAGTGCCCTGAGAATTATCAATGACTCTTCTGGCCACCCAGGAAAAGCCTTGTTCCAGCTTCTTCCCTCTGGCAGAAGATACTGTTCTCTGAGATGCAGGACATCTCGTTATGCTAATAGTTTTTTTCCACGAGCTGTTATCAGTTTGAATAGAGCACTTTAATGTTTTTGCACTTGTATAGATCTGTTTTAGTTGGTCAACTTCACAGTGACATTTGTTTACTGTTTTTAAAATTTGTTTTATTTTTGTCTTTTAATGTTGTTTTATGTCTGTACTTGTCCTGTGCACACTGGGAACTTTTACTAATGTATTCCAATGTAGTGTTACTGCAAATGGCGAATAAAATGAATCTGAATCTGAATCTGAATATGTTAGATACAAATAATAAGGTCAGAAGGATCTAGCAGTGGTGTGCAAACACTGGCCCGTGGGCCAGATGCGTCTCTTTGAAAGTTTCTATCAGGTCCCTGAGACCTGCTCAGGCCGAGCTCTGAAGCAATGTATAATATTTAATATAATATGACAGAACATTGGAAATTAGGTCCGGCCCCGACAGCAGACTGATGTTCGAATGTGGCCCTCAAAAGGAAAAGTTTGCCCATGCCTGGTCCAAAGCATGGGTGTCAAAGTCTAGGCCCGGGGTCCAGATCCAGCCCGCGAATGAATTATTACCTGGACCCCGGGATGATATTTGATTAGTATTAGAACCGGCCACACAGAGCGATGAGGAAATATTGGATTATTCATGTTCAGGACATGTGTTTTCTCTTTGAAGGACGTTTGTTTTTATCAGTGAGCTTGTTGAAACATGTTTTCACTTGCTGTAATAGAGAAAATATTGTCCAACTTATCAACTGTTTCTGCTGTAAATCACTCCAAGACCAAGGAGGGACTGCACTTTCTTTCCAAAACAAAATTAAATGTAATAATAATAATAATAATGTAAATCATCAAAATTGTTGCTATACAGTACATCAAGTTTAAAATATTAGTGTAGTGACATGACGACATTCTGAGGACTAGGAGAAGGATAAAAGCTGCACCCGCCTCAGCCTCAGCTTCTCACAGTGGCCCAGTGTGTGTTTAAGCCACAGGTGGATCATGTCTCTCTGTTTGCTCCGTAATCACCCGCCTCTGTCTGCGCTGTGCCAATAAAGCCAACACAAATTTGTTTTCCTTTACATAATGGCCATGATCCCTCATAAGCAGCGGAGGACTTGCCTTGAAAGCGTTTTCATATTTCGCCGGGCGTGATTAGATTAGCTACTGTAAGCCTCCTCACCAGAGTAAAAAGCAAACAATAGATACGGTATACAATTTTTCAACCCCAAGTCAGGAGGGCATAATGCATTTAAAAATCAATTGAAATTCAGTCGACAGCACACATTTGAACATAACCAGGAGCAGCACTGTCAAATGAGAATATACTAATTTATTAATGGTCGAACCACTAGAGTAACGTGCAGTTCAGACTATGTTTTCTCATGTACATGGATAACACACTAGAACCAACTTTGACAGGATGTTGGATTAAATATCGCATTTTTATCCCCACCTGCTTTGGTATTATTTTTAACTTCAAGGAGTTCTCTTAAAATTAATTATTAACCTTGCACATATTTGGTGTGAGACAAAGAGCTTAGATTGGAACTAGAGTTTTATATAATACTAAATAATATCTCTAGAGCAGTTTTAGTTTGCTGATAGATTTAACTTATACAGTATCATGCAACTGCAACGATACTGCTTCTTAAACAATTGCACATTATAGCAGACAGTATATGGAGGTAGAAAGGGGTGGTTACATGCAGATATAAGTACAATTCAATTAAAGATGGAGTGATCATATTGAGGTTGTAAAGAAAAACTATTTTGGGGGAAATAATTTTGTTTTAAAAAGTAGAGAATGGTTCTATTCAAATTGTAAGCATTCGTCACAGCATACATAATAAGATTCAGATTAGGAGATCCTTTATTCGTCCCACACTGGAGAATGTTCAGTGAGAGATAGAATATCATATTGGCAGGCTCTGAAAGACCCCCAGCCCGAAATGTTATTGTATTGAAATACAGATTATTTATATTAAAAAAGAATAAAATACAAAATAGTATTGATTTTTTTCCGGGGCTCGCCCTATATGTACAGCTCTGGCAGTCACAATAAACAAACATTTTTACGATTGCCCTTGAATGCACCACTAAGGCCAGCCAACCACAAACCTTATTTCAAGCTGCCGTGGGTCAAAACCAATGACAAACATAAGAGGGCGGGAATTCCTCTGACAAATGCTGGGTTTTACTGAACACAAACATGTAGTTATAACTTATATAAAAAGATAATATAAAGATATCTGAAAATATTAAGTTTTGTCCATATCTTTCAGCCCTAATTTCAAGTTTTCAACCAGCTCAAAACAATGGTTTCTGAGTCAATCTGCAAGGCTTGAGCAGTAAAAGTATGGAGATTTTCCAAAAAGAACTATGATTTTACGGTATAATCCTGTGGGCAGCTGTAAGCGTAAATGGCCTTAGAGAAACTTTTGTTCACGTTTTGAATGTGCATATTTCATAATGATATCAAATCAATACTGGTGCATTTGATTCTTAAACATGGCATAATACTGTGTGCAAAATCCTAGTCTACTCTCATATATTGTGAGGTGACGTGTGATTCCCAACCCATTACATGAGACATGGGTGAATCAATGTCCAAACATCAATACTGTATTTACTGACCGAGCTATCGATCCTTAGAAATCCTGGGAAAATGGCATTGAACATGGTTTGTCATTGAAGTCTGATCAATTGTAGTCAGCCTGCACCAACTAAAGGAATACTCTGGACACTCCAAGGTCAAATTCAACATCCCTCCATTTTAGTACGATCTGAAATATTAGACACAGCATCGGTCTCAGCATTAGATTTATGTTGTGATACCTAATGTTAGCGATGCACCGATCCAGCCTTTTTATGCCTCATACCAATCTCAATACCTATAGTTTGGAAATTAGTGAAGAGACTGAAGAAAGCAATTATTTACCCACATATCACAGCTAACCTGTTGATGGATACAGTCGTGTTTTGAACAGGTTTTCATCCTGTGAGTAACAAGGGAACAAGGTTTAACTTCTTTGGATTATTCAATTCATTTTTCTAATTCATGTCTAAACCAGTTCTGCCCCAACAGGGCTTCACATACGCAGACATACACACATGCATGTACACACACATGCATGTACACACACATGCATGTACACACACACTGCCTGTGAGGACTGTGCAAAAAAGTGTTCACACCACAGCTTTGATCTGACATCAGCACCCAACTGTGATTTAATGTGACTAAAAGAAGACTAAAATAACAGTGTCTGTTTTAAGTGTGTCTGGTTGGAGTTGATGTATCATAAACTCCACCACAGAGACGTGTCCTGGACCAGACCAGTGTGGATACCTGACCTCGTCCATTTTTGTTCTCCTCATCGTAAGTGCCGCGTTCATCTATTTGAGAGCTTGAAGTACAGCACAGTCATGTGCAGAACACATATGTTAGTTTTGGTCTGATAAGTATATTTGGTAAAGCTCTGCCTGTTGGTGAGAAAAAGAGACTGCTGCAACTGCACAGTAGACAAGCATCTGTGTGACCTACAGATTCAATAGTGCTTTATAAAAAAATAATTAATAATAATTTTCTGGCAATTCATTTCTTTAACCGTTATTTAATATAATTACAATGTAATTGCCAAACACTGATGGTATGTACGGCTGCTATGTATGCAGCTCTAACTAAGGCTCTAATAGAGTCCAAAATATACCCGGGAATTAATGTCACAACTTGACAATGTCCATCACAAGTTTGGGACATAATCATTTTAGAGCATTTGTCACACCCCATTTTAGTCGACTCATCAGAGGTATGTTTCATTTTTTAAAGAGCATGATCTAAAAAAAAACATAGCCCTTGAGTTTGGCATATCCCTAGTTCTATTATTATTGTCTTTGTTTAGATTTCATGAATGGCTGTGAATGTCCTTCATGTGTAAAACGTCTCTGAGCTTCATTGAAAAGCACAATATAAATCTATGTACAACAACGAGGATGATAGAATTCATAACATGAATATTGCTTTAACATAGACATGATGGATTGTAGCTGCCCACGTTAATACTTCCCATAGGTTTGAGAATGATGAGAATGAAGGACTTTCTATAGTTGCCAACGCCTTCAAACACAAACATTAAATATATAAAATGATCAAATGCGACTAAATAAGACCCACCAAGCAAAGCATTCTGTAGAATTTGGATTTTGACCTGAACAAATACACATCTAATCTTTATATTTTTCACCATCACCGCAGTGGAAATGATAAATGAATGCGTTTTGAGACAGAACATAGATTGGAGGGATGAATGGACCATGGGTGGGACACAGCCATGACTTTCCCCCCGGAGCCTGCCTTCATCTGTCCCGCTCCGGCTAGCAACACCGGGGCTAGCCTCTCCCAGCTGACCACACCACCATAACTCCCACACCGTGACACTTCCCCAGCTTCCAACAGCCACAACCACAGCCCTTTAAATCCCCAAAAGAGACTAGGGAACTGCAAAACGCGATGCAAACGTCTTTTTGTACATATATTCCGTGCGCGCTAGCTAGTTAGTTAGCAGGAGCGGGCTATGCAAAGACTCCAGCTGCTGCGTGAGTGTGACAGCCGAGGCAAAGGCAAGGGATGATGGGTCTGAATGATGCACTGCCGCTAAAACAGGTCAAATCTCTCGAAACAAGCTCACAAACATGAATCAGGATGTGTACGACGATCCCATGCACAAATACACGTGCGTAATGGTGCGTAATAATAGCCTTTACGCGCGTATGTTTTGGTTACCTTTGTGAGTTTTGACGTTGCTGTCTGTGGTGGAGGAGATGTTAATCCGATGGCCAAGTGGGATTGTGGAGGAGGATGATGTTGGCTGGTGATGTCGCTATCCTGCGTGAGTGGTGTCCAATCCAGCTGCCTGACAGTCGGCGCGTCTCCCCCGCTGGTGCTGGTGCTGTGGCGCTGCTGTCCTGGCTGTCCTGTGTCTTGTAGCAGCCGCCCTCCAGTGGAGACACGCTACAGCCCTGATGCGCTTTGATTAGGGACCCCCTCCTCCGTGTGCCCTTTCACTCTCCTCCCCTGCTCCCAAACGCGCATGTAATGTAAGAGGAGCGCGCACAGGTCTGTGGATGTGAATGAATTTAGTGAGTCATCCATCCATCCATCCATCTACCCAGATCCTCCACGCTTTACCCGTGTCTGACCGCCTAGTGTTCAGCAGAGGCAGGCAGACAGACACGGGCATCACCACCACCATCACCATGTCACCATGTTTGATCTAACTCTGCACAAAAGTCTTCTGAAATACCTATATTTAACCTGGTTAAAACTGGGGCTATTTATTACTTAATATTGGTAATTGAATAATAGTGATAATTCTTTTAAATAATTAATTAGTTGTGTAAATATGATATTTTATATTTTATGATAAATACATGGCAATAAAAGTGGGCGACAGTAGCTCAGTTGGTAGAGCATTGGCCTTAAGCCCAGAAGGTTGAGGGTTCAATTCCCACCTCTGCACCTTCTCCACCGACTCCCAATGATGACTGCTGTCGTTGTGTCCTTGGGCAAGACACTTAACCCCACTTTGCCCAAAGCCCCCACTGAAAGATCAAGGCTATGCTCACACTCAGAGAGCAGCCGTCCTCCTGTGGACTCACCACCTGCAGAGGGTCAGTGAGGGACCGGTGCTATGAGACTTGGGTGGCATCTCTGATTGCCACCCCCCTGACCCAGAAATGGATTAAAGGGTAGAAAATGGATGGATGGATGGATGGATGGACATGGCAATAAACACATTTCACAGCCCCACATGAGTAGGAGTCTGTATTAGTTAATGAGTTCTCTAATATACTGTATGTCGATCATTGAAACAACTCGATTAGTTACGATGAATTCATTAATCATTACATAATGAATAATACACCAGTTACATAATGATTAATACACCAGTTAAAACCCATTAAGATTCAAAATCTCTTTTTCAAGAGTGACAATCTTTTAATATACTTAGATTCAATATACTTACAATGTAATACATTGTAACAATGTAAGATCCCATGTTAATAAGTAATTTAGGCTGAGAAAACAAATACATAACAGAAAACAGACTCACAGATTCTGTCCACTGGTGGATCATATGTTAATTGAGACATGTTAAGCTAAATTAAGATTTTAACCATATTACAAGACCTGGAGTTGTTGTCAAATACATCCAGGCTAACATCAGGTACAAGTGTCTGTAAGGATATTATGTAAATGTAACCTCAGTACATCATCATCATCAGAACAGCTTCCTGCCTTAAAATAAACAGTATTGCCTAAACATTTCTTTTTTGGCCAATTCTCAGGTGAAATGCCATTCTTTACAATTGCATGGATGTGTTTTTTTTTTTTTTTTTTTTCAAATTTGAGAGTATATATAAAACATAAATTCAACTCATCCCTTTGGTGGTTGCATTTTGGTGTATTTCTTGTCCTTGATACCAATTGTTTTGCCGTACGGAAGATATTACTTCAAATTCTGAAACATGAAATGAAGTAACAAGTCTCATCATTTTGTTTAATCTCAAAACTGATTTAAAATAATAATAAATAAACAAGGCCAAGCACTTTCAATAGATCCTGCAGTACTGCTCTGCCCCTCAGCACAACGTGAAACACAAACACATAAGAGCCCCCTCAGGATCTGCTCAGACAACAAGTTAGCGACCAGTGGATATTTCTTTCCCTTCTAGCATAAATGAATCCTCCATGTATATAACCAATGTATTAAAGACAATACAAACAAAGTAACTCTAAGTGATGGGGGGGAGCGATGGCATCTTGGGTATGAAAGAATATAAATGACCGCATGAATTGTTCTAAAAACAACATTGAAAAGCTGTGACAAATTGCGCATCCGTTCCCCTTTAATGCAGCCGCAGGTATATGTGTGTCAGTGTATAGGACATGGGTATAACGTGTTAACCTTTTTGCCCTCTGTGTGTTGAATGTCATTGGAATCACACTTCTTTGTGGTTAGTGTCATTGGAATCACCAGAATATTTGGTAATAAAAATAAAAAAAACGTCTGAACTGATCCGAGTGGTTTTTGTTTGAGGTTGATACTGTAACTGTGTGTTTGTGAGCTTTTGTATGTATTATCTTACTTTTTGTTAAATTAAAATAAATCCTCATAAATAAAATAAATAAACAATAAGGAAGCCTAAATGCATTCTCCTCATCACTATTAGCTGCAGTATGTTGTGGATCAAAGCAGACCGGCAAGAGCTCCCAACAATCCACACTCAGCCATTTCTGCCGCATTCCGCAGCAACAGTCACAAATGGAATTGACTTTTTGGCTACCAAAGCACCCTGTATATAAATTAGACAGTGATGGGCAGGAGGCAGCAACACGCTCCGTCCAAGCAAATTAAAATGAACTGATTGACCATAGCGTTAATGTGATTGCTCCTGCAACATGACTATTACAAATAAGGCCGTATTTAGTGCATCATTTATTATAGGGGGACAAATTATGCCAGGGTGATGTAACGGCCTAAATGGCTCCTTAGGGCATTTCAGTCATCAGTCAATTGGAATTGTTTTGTAAATTATTTACTATTGAGTAGTACAGTAGACTGCTTAGAAATAGGCTTGAAATGGATCTCTTTTTTATCACATTTGGACAGAAAGTAAAATATGAACAAATCACACCACAACATGCTGTGTTCATTCGATTAGAAAACCAGTTTTCTTTTTCATTCTTGAAAAGTGGATCTAAAGATTTGACAGAGTTTGAAAACACACATGATCACTATAGATCTGTCTGAGAGCTAGAAACTCGCCCCATGGATTTGACCAGCAGGTATAGTTCCTTTAAAGGCCATATCCAGCTCTAGCCCTGCCATGCTGTATATAAGCAGCTAGTTATTAGATATTGTATATCTAAAACATTAAAGTCATTTATAAAACACAAGTATTATGGATAAATCAGGTAGGCCGACTAATCATTAAACGTGTTGAATGTTAATAATGTTAAAAGTGGTGCTGTGATTTGTGATGTTGAAAACCCACAGCTGTTGAAAAGCTTTGATCAATTCTGGTCTAATGCAGAGGTGTCAAAGTCACTTTGGTTGGGGGTCGAGTTTAAGAAGTTTCAGCTGGTCAGTGTCCACATTTTTTAGGTTGTATTTTTATACCAACGGAGTCCATTGTTTTCTTTGTGGAAAGTTTCCAGCTCATCTTTTGCACCTGTGGTTATACTTCCATTTGTATCATACGGAAGTCATTTTGTCCAAATAACACACTTGTATTTACCAGGTCACAAGTAGAAAGGATTATCTTTACCAGAGAACATGGGCTACCATCAAAGGTCAAATGTATCCCTTTTTTATAAGCTACAATTGTAGCCACAGCTGCCCTGGGGCAGACCGACAGAAGCAAGGCAATCAGTATGTGCCATTGGCCCCTCCCAGAGTTCTCCCATCACATTACTAACCGGGCCCATTCCTGCTTAGCTTTAGACTTTTGACAAGATAGTTTTCACACGCAGGTTGTGCCATGGTTTTGGAAAATGTTTGAGGTTGTTGATTTATTGAGAAAATGAAGTATAACATGCTCTGGAAACTTTCTACCAATGATAATGATGAAAGTGCAGCAGGAGCAGAGTCACAACATTCTTTCTGCACAACGACCTTTCTTCAAACGCTTCCCTAAATGTATCTTACATCTCGTTTATTTAATGTTTTACTGTGTGCACATGTGTGTGTCTGTCTGCGTGTGAGCATGCGTGTGTGCATGTGTGTGTGGATGTGTGTGCTTACCTCACAAGACAATCTTCATCATCTCCCTCAGGTTTTCCTCCTCTTCCTCATCATACATGAGCATTGCGCCACAGTTCTCCGCACGTCTCCAGAAGAATCACATTACGGCTGTGCGCTGCTTCCGTAGTGGACTGGGAGTTAATTAGCTGCTTCCTCATAGAGAATGGTCACAGCGGTTGTCACGAGCGACCGGGTTTGCCTTATCAGATGTGGGCTAGTGGGGAAGCTGTTCACAAGCAAAGTGTCTGTACGCAGTTTTGAAAACAAACAGGATGATATCAAGGCCAGAGAGACAGAAAAAACAAACATGGCGTGAAATATCTGTTTGTGTTGACTTGTTGTCTATTCCCAGCTCACCCCAACAGCCTTCAGCAAGTAATTAAGAAAGTCATCTTCATTTTTGTTCAATCGAGAAGTGTGTTCATTTTAAATACAAAATATGTAATGTATCTGCAAAGTAGGGAAGCAACGATCCAGTTTTTTCAAGACCAAAACCGGTCCTGGAACTACTGAAATTAACCAGTACTAGAGAAGGGACTGAATACTGGATACTTATTACAAATCGGTTCACTTGTTTTAAACTGTCTGTTGATCCTATAAGTATTGACACACACTACTGACACTACTGTTTGAGTAGAAGTAAATCTATCAAAAACATGTGACATTCAGGGCTTATAATACTAGCCAGTGAGCAGGCTTCTTACATCCAAATAAGGGCAGACTCAATATATTGCCCGAACCATTATTCAGCCGATACCTGATCCAACAAAATTTGTATTGTATCCATGGACCGTATATTAGGAGTGATTTAGAGTTTAGGAGCCCATTTTTTCATGTGGGCATTTGCTTGGATGGGGTTAGCTTTGCGGCGTAACGGGGTAGATGTGTTGATTCCCCGGTGAATGAAGGCATCTGACTGATCGTTTTGGCTCATACCTGGATTCTACGACAAAATCAAAACCAGGATAACAGAGAATACTAAACCTTACATTTTTTAAGCCTAAAATAGTGAGTGTGACGCAATTGTTTACTGAGATGGAGGAGATTACTGTACTTACTAGAGCAAGTTGGAGCAAAAACGTTGCTATCGGGCTACATTGAGTTAGAAGGTTAGCATTGTCAATCTATATTATGGATCTATAATAATTACTGGATAGGGTGTTACTAGCTTATAGCTGTCCCACCCACGGGCGCCCCCTGTGCCCGTGGTACTGCAGACTAAATTCACGAGGGCTAACCAGAAAAAAGTCCCAAAGAACTCAATAAAACAGCTCAACCTCAGCTGACAGAGAACCTACAAATTTCATGAAGATCAGATTTTGTGGGGATTTTAGTGTCCCTTGTCATCCTGAACTTTTTTTCTTCTTAAATCCTTTGGTTTTCTTTAAATCCACACTTTACTGCCACAAACTCTGCTCCTTCCCGCTCTGACTCCGCTCTGCTGCTCCTCT